GCACTGGGAATGGAGTGTGTCCGGTACATAGTAGTTACTCAATCCGTCTTGTTGGCTGAATGATTAATGAGCACATCTCTTTCCAGGGTTAGTCAGATAACCACTGAGAGATGGATGCATATGAAGAAAAAGATTTGACTCAAAAAAAAGAAAAAGAAAAAGATTTGACTCTACAACCCCTGCAGCCTTGTGAAAAACCATCTAATTTATAGGGTTAGAGGTCATCTCCGTGCCTGATGCTGGAACTTGAATCCCACTGGGCAGGCGGGCAGGAAGGATGGATGGGATAAAGCAGAGGAGGGGAACAGGACAAGCCGCATCCCGGGAAGACAGGCCAGTCGAAGGTGGTTTTTGTGGCTGTTGACTTTGTTGTGCTGAGCTCTTCCGAGTGGAGCTAAAATGTACACAACTCAGAAGCTAGACAAAGTGAGGCGGGTACGGGGCAGTGTGTGCGAGCTACAAAATGACTGCTGCTTCATTTTTGGCACCTGGGGCCACCCACAAGAACCTCCTTGTACTTCACCCCTAACGGAGGGGGAAAAAAGAGTCGGGGGTGAGGGGTGGGGATTCTGGGAAGCACCGTTCTGCTGAGCCAAGGAGGCAGATCAGCAAATCCCGGTTTCAAGTCTGTGATCTAGTGAGCCACTCGGGACGTAAGCAGGTGATTAGGACTGAGCAGTGAACCCTGAGAGGGGGCAGACAGTAATGAGAAGCCTGCTCTGATGTCCCGCCTCTTGATTCCATTTGAGTTCTCTCATCCCATTGGAAAAAAGACCGGTGCATTCGAAAAATGAGGCAGGCTGGGGGAGTCCTCACCCCCGCCCCGTTCCTTTTGCCATCTTAGTGTTGGAGAACTCACTGCTTGTCCACTGGTGGGAATAAAGGGTCAACCATTCGGTGTACCAGGGTAAGTCAAAAAGCACCGCTAGTAGGGTCCAGTTGGTGTGTGCACGGGTTTCTTCTACACAAAACCCGTCTCGGTGCTCCGTGGGTGGCTGCAGACAGTGCTCGCAGGAACCCATTTGTCTTAGTCGCCTCGGAGCGCCTGCAAAAAAAGACCTAAAGCAGTTGCTTCCAATGGGTCTGTTGGGCCAGTTAAATTCAAGGCCAAGATGTCAGTTCTGGAGGTTGGAGTGACTTAGGAGGGACTCCCAAGGGATAATCTCGTTATCTTTTCTTATAAGTCCTAGGACAATCATAAAGGCTTATTAGAAGTTTTAAGAAAATGTAAAAGTCACAGGGCAAGCGTTTGGGAAAATTGCTCAGGAATGTTTTCTGATCACCACCACTCATGCGCTGCTTCTTCCAGGGTAGCCAGGGCTGTGCTAGGCGAAGTGCATTGGGAAACCATCTCCCCTACACCCCTGGCCTTGCCCCTGTGGACTTCTTTTTGTCCCCCAGGCTCAAAGAACATTGTAAAGGGGTGTGAGTCGAGTCCCTTGCTGCCAAAACTGCCATCTTGAAAAATGGCAGGAAGCCGCGAAGCACAGAATCGATTTTAGGGGCAGGAATAGTGAGACAAGCCACGTGGCCAGAAGTGAACCTGTGTTGACGGAGGATGTGTCCGGAAGCAATAGCTCCACATTTTTGATAATTTTTGTTTTATGAAGGGTCCCAGGCATCCCCTTACAGAAGGGTCGCGGGGAGGAGACGAGCCAGTCAGGGTGAGTGTAGCAACAACGAAACATACAACTTTCCTCTAGTTTTTAAATGCTCCCTGCCCCCACCCCCGTCCCCCACTATCATGATCCCAATTCTACCTTACAAATCTGGCTAGACCAGAGGATGTACACTGGTACAGATAGGAACTGGAAACACAGGGAATCCAGGACCCTCAGGATCAGTGTTGAAAGTGGCGATACCGGGAGGGTAGTGGGAAGGTGGGGGTAAAAAGGGGGAAGTGATTTCAAGGATCTACACATAATCCCCTCCCTGGGGGATGGACAACAGAAAAGTGGGTGAAGGGAAACGTCAGACAGTGTAAGACATGACAAAATAGTAATAATTCATAAACTATCAAGGGTTCGTGAGGGAGGTAGGGCGGGGAAGGAGGGGGAGAAATGAGGAGCTGATACCAAGGACTCAAGTAGAAAGCAAATATTTTGAGAATGATGATGGCAACAAATGTACAAATGTGCTTGACACAATGGATGTATGTATGGATTGTGATAAGAGTTGTACACGCCCCCAATAAAATGATTTTTTTAAATGATAAAGGGTCCTATGATCTTTTGGTAGCAATACTTTTTGACTTAAGCATCGTAAAACAATGGATAAGCGGATACACTACCTCGGAGCATCGTGCTTCCTGGTCACTTCTGTCCACCGCGCTTGTGAGTGCCGCTTCCTCCGGGAAACTCCGCCCCTACCCTCCCACGCCCCACCCCGTGCACACTGCTCTCTGCTGCTGTTCTGCAGAATGCAGGGAGGTGGTCGCAGAAATAAACGCCCTTGTCAAATCCACCAGCAGCTCAGCGTCGCACCCTCGGTCAGAAATAACAGACCGAGTTCAGCTGTAGAACCGAGCAGTTTATTAAGAGCACAGATGGCGTCTTAGAGAACCCAAACATGGAAAACACCGCAGAGCCTAAGGAAGCTTCTGGAACCACGGACATGCCTGCTGTAAGCTGTTGTGACTATCTTTCCAAAGAGACCCATTTTCTCGGCTACTCCGTCTGTCTGGGGCAGGGAAAGGAGCGAGCCCTTAACAACCAAGTGGAGCTGAAGTTTGAGGAGATATGGTCTGGTCCAGATTCCATCAAATACCAACTGGCAGGTGAAGGGGGAGGGAGGCATAGGTGCTAAAGCCTCAGCCACCCTTGTGCCTGTGTGCGATCTCAGTTTCAGAAGAGAGAGGTGGCTGGGAGCTGATAGACACCCTCACAGGAGGCGGCCAGTTCGCACTGCCCTGAACCAGGCTGCAATGGAGAGAGCAGTATCACCTGCAGCTCTGGGGCCTGAAGAAAGGCTTGTGGAAGAGAGGCCTTTGGACCATTTGGGAGTCACAGAAAGGTAACAGGTTCTGCCAGTAATAGCTGTGGGCTCAGGAAAAAGCTCCTGAAGCCTGAAAGGAGCAGCCATCAAGCATGTTGGCCCCGTGGCAGCCCTGGCATTCGATTTGCCTGGGAACAGCTGTGTGTCCTAGAAGGTTATGATTCCAGCCAGCACCAATCGGGGACTATGAGCGCTTTAAAATCTGTAAAGGCCCAAGGAGACTCTCAATACGAGGGCCCATCTCACCACATCCCTTGCCCGCTAGAATGGAGTCATGTGACACAAGGGTGGAGCCCAGAAACCGCTTTCACCCCCCCCCCAGTGCTTATTCCATGATGCTGTCACTCACTTCCTGTGATTGACGGGGTGGGGGCAGGGAGGGCCTTAGAGTAGCACACAAGGACCCACCAGACGTACAGTGAATTTTCCATTGAAAGGCTGGGGCATTTCATAAGCTTCTCAGGCACAAAGCAAGAAGACAGAGGTGTGTGAGTGACTATCACTGTGGAAATATCCATACAAGAAGATATTTATACGGCCACTGCCGTGGGCGGTTGACTTAGACTGGGTTTTCTAGAGAAGCAAACCAGTGGAGCTTGTATCTACTAACACCCAACCAAGCCTACCCTTTAGACCAGTGGTTCTCACCTTCCTCATGCTGCGCCCTTTAATACAGTTCTTCATGTTGTGATGACCACCACCACCCTCACCATAAAATTATTTTGTTGCTACTTAATCGCTGTCATCTCGCTACTGTTATGAATCGGGCGACCCCTGTGAAAGGGTCGTTCGACCCCCAAAGGGGTCTTCACCCACAGGTTGAGAACCGCTGCTTTAGGCAGCATACAACTGCCTCTTGAGTTTCTGGGACTTTAAATCTTTAAGGGAACAGACAACCTCATCTTTCTCCTGTGGGTTCAACAATTAGCTGTTCAGTGTATAACTCACTAGAGCACCAGGGCTCTTTACACACACACACACACACAGGGAGGTTTATATCAGAAAAATGGCTCATCCCATTGTAGAGGAGGGCAAGTTCCAAGTTCGTGCATCCGATGTCAGCAGACTGGGGGTTTCCCCTGACCCACACAGCTGCAGGGGTTGATGAGCACAAGGTCAGCAGGCTGCACAGGTGTGTGAATCCAAGGTCCCGGGCAAGATGGCAGGGTGCCAACTCAATGCCAAAGAACTGGAGGTCAGATGATGTGCCACATGCAGGACTGAGGCCCAACAAAAAGCAAACTAGCTTTTCCAGAGTCCACTTCCATTGGAAGCAGACCACGCCCCCAAGGAAACTTCCTTTCACCCGATTGGTTGCTCACAGCAGATCTCATGGAGGTATTGCTGTCTTTAACTGCCAAACTATCAGAATCCTGGCCCAGCCAAACTGACGCAAAACCTTTAACTAACACAGCTACAGGCCCCTGGCCTAGTCAATATTGTAAATACTGTGGAATATTGTTAACTATGACAGATTTCACAAGGCCCTGAGGGACTACCAGTAATTTGAGTTACAGAATTATAGTCCAACATGATCCCAGGGACTGGGATAATGAGTTGTGCTAACCAAGGATGTACAATAACAAGAATGACTAATAGGTAAATAAAACCAGCTACTCCAGCCATTTGATGTTCAGTAGTGTTCCTGATCCTTGCGATACTTCAGGTTAGTTGAATCAGTTAAGCGGATATTTGGCTCCTTAAATAATAGGGTCTTT